TGGGAATCTCAGCAGACTCAGCAGCAGCAGCTGCCCTCTTATCAAGATCTTCATCAGTTGCAGGTTTCTCTGTTGGTGCCTGACTAATCAGACCTGCTTCGAGAACCTCATCACACGGTGCGTGGCTAGCAGATACATAATGAGCTAAATGCAATCTTTGACGGTTGTACTCCTGCGCGGCGTTGCACCAAGCTCTCAGCGCACGAAGTGTATCAAGCTTGTGGGCTTCTGTATTGTTCTGCAAAGAAAGGTACTTACGACCGCCTGACTTCTCATTTTTTCTATGAAAGGGACAGCTTGCCTGGAACCCCCCAAACTGCCGCGTCTTAGATGGTTGTTTGGGGGTCAACTTGAAAGTCACTGGGTCGATCTAGTGAATCAACATCAGAATCATCTGCTCTTGCAGCAGCCTGTCCGCGTGGCCTGCGTGGTGCATCTGAGCTAGGGGGGGAGGGGGAGGGTCTGGCACAGGATCAAGGAGCTCGGGACCTGCAGGAGCCGGGCGGGGTTCCACTTCCAAATCACATGCTCCACTGGCTTCACTACCTGATCCCTCGTCAAGAAGGCGCTGAAGCTCTTGCACAATTTCGTCGTCCTCCAGTTCATCAACTGGCAGACCTGAATCACGCAGCTGCAGTTGCTGCCTTCGGCCAGCAGCAGAGTGTTCTTCATGTTGCCCATCAAGAAGCCGGTCCACAACCCCCTCGCCTTCAAGATCATCTTCCAAACTCTCCAAGCTCGGCTGAGCAATCTGCGGCTTCTCACCTTTGAGAATAGCCCCGTAAACCTTTGCTGGCTGAGAGGCCCAATGTGGGATGGCATCTACATTGCCTGCACGAAAGATTCTATCTGCTTCCAGCAAGCACTGCAGGTATTGCTTTGAAACATTGTGGGACTGGGAATACCAAATTTTGGGGTCACCGGCACTGTACACAAGCGACGGCCGAGTTGCCGTCTTAGAAGGTAATTTCTTCCAAGCCCAGCCCTGATCTTCCAAAGCCAAGAGAAACTCCATGAGATCGCACTGTGAGTACGGCTTTTGGTTGAAACTACAGACAGGCTGAGGCTCATGCAGTGAACTTACCACACGCAATTTCGTCATTCCTAACTCTGTGAGGCGAGCAAGCAATGCGGGGTTGGCAGGGCTGACAGGTGCAATTTGGATGTAGTTGTGCTGCTGAAGCTGCTGACAAACGCCCTCCGCACCAGCTGGCACCTGCGCATAAGGTTCATCTGGCACGCCCTTGGCATCCAACAAAGCTGTGACACAAGATGTTACCTGAGAACTAGGAAACCCTGGGCAAGGCAAGGCATAGTTCACCACTGACGAAAGTTTCCACACCTGCAAGTCGCGCCTCAACACATCTAGGGAGCAAGTCTCCAGTCCGGATAGCAATTGCGGTACA